GAGCCATTCCCGAATTGATTCTTCTTCTTGGAGAGAAATCAGGGTTGGAACCACTTGAAACAATCGGAGATTTTCCCTTATCAACCATATTGACGGTAACCTCTGGGAATTCATCATCTCGAACAACCGATCCTCTTTGGTGGAAACGCCTCGATTTGGGCTTCGTCGTTCCATCGGAGATTCTCTCGAATATCGAGACCCTCTGCGGAGCGGTCTTGGGGCAGCTACACGTTGATAATACTACCCTGATAATTTTGATACATGGACAGTGAGAGTCCGCTTCCCGGGTACTTCTCTTTCGAGATTTATTCGTACCTCCAGCCCGATAGTACAACTCATCGACGTTGCGGTCGGAGTAACCTATCGGCTGTTTACATAGACTCTCAGGTATAACTCGTTCGTCTGTCTGACGCGTTTTCCTCTGAGTAAACATTGCCTTGTTGGTATCTACGGGAGTCACACGTTTGGAATCACACATTTGTGAGGGTGAAACCTTAACGGGCTCCTGATTTTCTGCACGCACCGCCAAGCGGGCCGTTGCAGAAATTAATTTGTTAGGAGGTCGCGTACGACCCCCAATCCGGATGTTGGCTCGAAGATCCTTCAACGATCTCCAGCTTTCCTTAACAAGCGCTTTTCCTCGATTCTCGGGTAGGGCACCGATACGATCCTTCAGAGGAATCCTAAACTTGGGGAAATCCACGTTGCGGTAGGGCTTTACTGGAGGTTCGGGATCTACAGTTGACGAAGGCCGAAAAGCAACGTCACCTGCTTTTGCCTTAGGCGCTGATTTGGCTTTTGGCACCCAAACTTGTTTGGATCTCGGCGATCTCTTAACTGCCTCTTCCTTTTGCATTTCTTGTGCTTTTCGCACAAGGGTCCGGACATGCGCAAGCAAGGTGCGAGCGGATCCCGTCCATCGGCTCCAAAGCCTTGGCCAGCTGACGAGCAAGGCGTTGACGCCGTCTTTGGCGTGCTCTCTTTGACAATGCTGGAGCGTCTTCAGTAGCCATCTCCTCGGCGGAGGAGAAGTCCGGATGTGTGGTCTCGACCACGTTGGACGACGCGGGAACGTCGCGTGGTGCGGGCGCAGCGACGGCAATGGGATCTTGGATCTTCGAGCCGAAGGTCCCGCGAACATTTCTGGAAGAGGATGCCTTCCTGCGCCTGTTCGGAGAGGCGGATCTGGAGGAGGAGGAAGAGAGGTACTCTTCAAACTTTTGTCGATCGAACTCGTATTCGATCTCTTCATTCACCCGGATCTTGAATGCCGGTTGCGTCACGACAGCCTCGGCAGCGAGGCCGTTTGCTCCCACTGTGGTCGCCAGCTTGTTTGCGGAAAAAGTCGCTGTATTCATTGCTGCATTCATTACAACTTTGATCGTTACAATGAAATACAAATGAATTCAAATAACAAAAATAAAAATTACAACTTTCTTGAAAATAAACGCAAGATCCGTTTATCGTCTCTTGCTTGCGTGGGTCTTTGGCCTGTGATGGGGACGTCGATATCCGTGGACTACCTGGCAATCAGATCTGATCCAGAAAAAATCGGGCAGAGCTTCGTCGATCCGCGAGGAGATCTAGAAACTTGAAGCGCCTATCTCGGCTAAAACGAGATATTTGCTCTTCTTAGGATTACCGGCGAAGGGTAATGCTAAGGAACGGACACGGGTGATGCAATCTGATGAAGACCTTTCTTGTGTTGAAGCGCTCGACCACTCTTCACTGCAGCAGGGCTTCGCCAACTCTCCAAAAATCCAGATCCTCCAAAATGAGGCCCTAAGGTTCCTATTTATAGGCATGGGGGTACATAGGGCGTTGGGACACCCCTGGGGTGTCTAGGAAAAGCCTAGACACCCTCGGGGTGTCTAGGCAAAGCCTAGACACCCCTGGGGTGTCTCGGCTTGGCCGAGACACCCCTGGGGTGTCTAGGCTTTGCCTAGACACCCCTGGGGTGTTTCGACTTTCCCGAGACACCTCGGGTGTCCCAGTTCAGCCTGAGACGCTCCGTTGTGTACGTTTGATTGTTTCCGCCGTAAATTCTTCGTCCGAACTCGGATTTGAGTGATTCCAAGTGCGTCGGAAGCTTGACGAAGAGTTCTATCCGCTCCGATGGTTGGATTATCTGTAGAGTGATCGAGATATGAAGGGCATTGTTCTTTTTGTGAACATCGCAGGGTTCCCGATTGGCCCGTGCCTCCGTTATTCCGAAATTCTATCGGCTCACGTAGTTCGTCGATTCACTTCAATCGTTCATCGACGTCAATCGAACTCCTATGGATCGGATGGTGACGTTCATTGTCGTTCCTTAACACTGAGCCATTGGTGGAGACCTATAGGCAATTTTCGATGCCTACACCATATCCTCAACACGAACCTTCAGACCCTCTCCAACCAAAGCTCCAATCGAGATCAAGTTCTTCCTCAAAGAAGGAACATATCTCACATCGTTTAACTCTCTAACAGTCCCGTCAAACATCTTTATGTGAATTCTTCCTATCCCAAGGATCTGGCATGTTACCGGAAACTTTATCAAAGCTCCTGTTATATTCAACTAGATGATGTATTTTTAACTTTGTCGGTATTAGTTACCGGAAACTTTATCAAAGCTCCTGTTATATTCAACTAGATGATGTATTTTTAACTTTGTCGGTATTAGTTACCGGAAACTTTATCAAAGCTCCTGTTATATTCAACTAGATGATGTATTTTTAACTTTGATATTATCCAAAATTATCTTTAATACTTCATAATGATCTTTCCTTTTGATTCACTTGCAATGCTCACCAATTCTTCACTTTTTGATAGGTACTCTTTTCAAACCCCTGAAGCCTGGAATGCAAAGGGTGAATACAGGTCTCTCTGCTACATGCGTCCACTGGCGATATGGGCAATGCAATGGGCATTATCGCCTCCGAAGCTACACAAAGATGTTGAATCTGACACAAAAGAAGAAGCTAATCTAAAGCATCACATGTCATTCTCTAAAGTTGCGAAGTTACTCAAATTGCCTGAAGAAGAGCATCATAAAAGTATTCTTCGGGTTATCTACGAGATCACTTGTAATAGGCTGAGGTCTTAATGGCGGTTTCAAAGCCTTAAGGGGCTTACTCATCTACGTTGAATAAAGGAACTTGTATACTTATTTTGTGACTGCATTGATTGATTGTATGTGCATTATTACTGTAACAATAAAAGGCGGCATTGCTCTTTTTCTGGGTTTTATTTGTAAATTACATTGTCAAAGTACTTCGTAAATAAAAAGTTCTTTTTTCCTTTTTTCCGGCACATCCACGTACGTCTGGATGGCTAAAGTCAACATTGATGTGTCAGCGTTAACAAATATGGCTGTGACGAAAACTGAAAGTGATGTACTTGATGGGAATATGGTCCATCCCCATGATGAATTAATATGGATTTAATTCATGGAGAATTTGTGGTTGACTACATGCATGCATTGATAGATTGTCTTTCCCCGTGCATTGGGAAAAGGAATGACTAGTCTTTGGACTTCCTCATGCAATGAATGTGGTGTACCCAAGAGGCATATCCTCCCTATAAATAGATGGGAGATGGTGAATGTTGAAAACAAGAAGCAAGAACAAGAATCACATGTTGTGCGCAGCGGAAATTTCGGCAGAGTTTCTGGTGCACAATAAGAGAGAAAGATCGATAAGAATTCTTGTTTCTCAAAGGGAACAAGAATCTGAAGCCTAATATCCCATCAAAGTGGGATATTTGCTCTTCCTCTCGTCAGCTCTAGGACTGCGCGTCGAGGGATCCTAAAACTATTACAATGGCCACAAAACTCAAACAACCAATTTTACGTGGTTCGGCAAACTGCCTACGTCCACGGGGCAAGGAGGGGGAAATCTACTATTAAAGAGAAAAAGAATACAATGGGTTTACAACTCTCACAATCTAAACCCTCAAATAGGCTCCTTGCTTTTCTTCACAAGAAAAGGTCAGCCTCCAATTATTTTCTCTTTCTTCACAAAACTCCTTTGCTCTGCGCCTGCACACACAAATCAGCCGCCAACGAAAAACTTCTGCACCCTCAATAGTATGCCGAAAACAATCACAGCCTCCTGTTTTTGTTCTCCCGCACTGCCCAAAAACCTAGGAACCGACTTTGTGTATTTATAAGCACAAAGTCGGGTGGGCCTGAGAAACAAAATTCTCCACCTCATGGGTCCCCACGTGCCAAGTTCATGTGCCACGTTCGTGGCCTCCACTAGCCGCAAAAAACGCGTCCACACCTATAGGGGTCTATGTGCAATTAACCTATTTTCAAATTTAGCAATAAAAAACAAAAGAAAAATGCATATCACCATCCATGTTTATAAATTATAAAATATCAGCGTGATCCACCTTAGTCATATTTGTTAGAGAAGTGAAGGCATATATGTATAAGGTCTAGCTAGGAGTTGCCGGTCTAGCTAGATTAGGAATATAAACTTAATTTCGTGTATTTGATTAAGATTTTTTTTAAAACAAAACCGCATTAATCTGTTGTTAGCAAATCAACACATTATCCAGCTGATCATTTTTTTTACATTTCAGAACGATATCGAATTTCTCCATCTCGAATCAACATGATCTGCACACAGTCGTGGACTAATCTTCATTAGAATTCTCTTCATATTAATTTTCTTGGCAAAATGTGGCAATGCAAGTAGCCATTAGTTTCTGAATTCCACACGCAATAATTGAAAATGTCAAAGCAAAGGAACGCTCAACACAAATGCATTAATTGGCTCTTGAGTACATGTCACGAATCTGAGCCCACACTAGTAGGCGACATGAAACCTATCTAGCGTGCAATTTGTAAGAAAACGAAGCATGACGTACGCATCATTAATTAATATAATTTCATTTAATTAAGCTCCAATTCATTAATTCTAGTGGCTTCAAATTGATCAAACTTTTTTTGTCAATTAAATAACCTATATATATAACCTTAGCTAGAGAGAAAATTGTGACTCAAATGACACTAATTAATTAACTAGCTAGAATAGTATTATTCATACGTACGTAGAAGTAAATTAAACAAGTGTACAGCACACGCCTACAAATCCTTCGTAACGTCACTTATTAGATGGCTCAAGTAGAGCTTACATGCGACCTTATTCCGTTCTTAATGAGCTACGTACAAATTAACCATAGTTTGATTGCTCACACAACATCTGAGTAAGCTCGATCAAGGGCAGAACACAACCCTGTAATCAGCCCCACTGGGACAAGTAAAAGTGCTGGTAGCGTCATCCTTGGGGTAACTGTACGCATCAGGGCACCTCTGCTTGAAAAACTTGGAATAGTCCGTGGGCCCACAGCCTCCCGAAGTGCAGCAGTACTCATTGGTCTTGAACACGGTGCACGGGTTGTTACACCCCCCGGGTGCCTTCAGCTCCGCCGGGCACTGACCGTTGATGTCCGCGGTGCACCGGATGTCGTGGCAATTTCCGGACGTCGGGGAGAAGTCCATGGGGATGTTGAAGCCGTCGACGAGGGAGATGTCGTAGAGAAGTCCTGGCCGGCGTACTGGTTCAGGCGCGAATTCTGCGAGGTGTCGGGAGGGGAAGCCGTAGGCGTGCAGGCAAGGAGACCGCCGCAGTCACCGGTCTGGCAATGGCCGGGCCAGAGGGGTCGAAGGAGCAGCCGGTTCGCCCCAGATGCGGCACCCGGTGTACCGGGGGCGACGGTGAGGGCCAGGATTGGTTGGGTCGCAGGCGGCGACCGCCCCCCGGCAACTGCAGCGGCCCAGACGGTGTAGTGCATTGTTGGTGACGGTGAAGGTGCGGCGGAGGCGAGGGCAGGAGGAGGACAGGGGGAGGAGGAGGGAGGTGAAACTTGAGATAGGCCATGATTGGTTGTGTGTTGTTTTTGAGTTAGATGAGTCTGGAGGAGGGGAATGGGCAGGTATTTATAGGGATAATTTGGATGGTGTCCATCAGTCCATGGGATAATCTCGATTTGTGGAAAGTCTAAGCCTTTGTGGAATAAGGTACGAGTTCGTGGACTAGTCTTCATGTTAGAACTAGTCTTCATGTTAGAACTTTCTTTATATTTTATTTGCAAAAGTTGTAATTAATGTAGGTATTCAGTTTCCAATTTCTACACGCAAAGACTAATTAGAATTTTTTCTGTGGATGTGTCATCTCGTTTGTATTGAGTTTTAGGGGATTAAGCTAATTACTTTAGTCATGTGCTTCTCTCATGACATGGAAATAATTATTGGAACTGTCAAAGCAAGCAAGGACCAGTATGTTGTGCGCAACAGAAATTTCGACAGCACCTCGGCAGCACAACAAGAGAGTCAGGTCGCAATAAGAATTCTAGTTTCACCAAGGAAACAAGAACCTTAAGCAAAATATCTCAACAAAGTGGGATATCAGCTCCTCCGCTCATCAGTTCTAGGACTGACCTGTTGAGGGAACCTAAGTAAGCTATTACAAATCATACAAAAGCGAGACAAACTAATTTTACGTGGCTCGGCAAATTTCCTACGTCCACGGGGCGAGGGGGGAGATCTACTATTAGAGGGATAGAATACAACTAGGGTTTACAATCACACAACTTAAACCCTCAACCAAGCTCTCAAATCCCTCACACAAATATCTCTCTCAAAAGGGGCCCTTGCACAGTCGGCGGCTTTTCCCTCTGCCTGCACACTTTTTCTCCTGCAGCCGCCAAATTTTCTTCTGCCTTGCGCACACCCACAGTCGAAAAAAATCCCCCTTTGCACTTTCGTACTTGCCCTTAACCCTAGCACATGCTTTGGCGTGCATTTATAAGCACGAACAAATCGGGTGATCTCGGGTGGGCCTTTGTGGGCATTCGTTCACGTGTTCTCTTCTTCACGTGGGTGCTGCTCCCACTCGTGGTCCCCACCCGCGTTCACAATTCTTCACCTCGGCGAAGTTTTCCCAAAACTGAGCTGACACCAAAGCAACCAAATGTCTCACTTATTGTGTCCAGTACGCCGTGAAACAATTCACGACAACAGACTCAATCCACAATACGCCGGGAACCCGAACGAGAGTCCAAACAATCTCACCCCATCAAAATCAACTAATACAAACCGGCTGCATCTAAATGACTGCCTACGTATCCTCTTGCCCAAGGAATCAAGCAGAACGTAGTTCACTCAAATGGCCGCCAACAGCCTCAACAATCACGAATATGCAACAAGTTTCGATAATGATCAAACTTGTTGCTCGGAATCACCTTTGTGAGCATATCCGCCGGATTATCTTTCGTGTGGACCTTCACTATCTCTACATCTCCATCTTCAAGAACATCCCGAATGAAGTGATAACGAATGTCAATGTGCTTCGTTCTCATATGAAAAACCTGATTTTCGTCAAATAGATAATACTTATGCTATCACAATGAATAGTGACGGACTGCTGCGATATACCAAGTTCATCCAAAAGTCCTCGAAGCCAAATAGCCTCCTTCACAACCTCCGTAATCGCCATATAATCTGTCTCTATCGTAGACAAAGCCATTATCGACTGTAAGGTGCATCTCTAATACACCGACGCACGGGTCAAAGTGAACACATACCCCGTAGTAAACCGGCGCTTATCCAAATCCCCGATATAATTCGAATCAATATAGCCAATGCACAACTATCCACCTCTAGTGTCCCGCTCATAAACTAAACCAACATTGAGTGTACCTCGAATGTACCTTAAAATCCATCTCACGGCATCCTAATGATCCACTCCTGGATCGTGCATATATCTCGATACCATGCTCACCACCTGTGATAAATCTGGTCTCGTACATACCATCACGTACATCAAGCTCCCAACCACGCTCGCATATGGAGTCTTCGACATCAACTCTCTATCTTCAACTGTCTTCGGTGAAAGGTCAGCTGAAAGTTTCAAATGAGCTCCCAATGGTACACTAACTGGCTTCGTATCCATGCTAACATGAAATCGCTGTAGAACATTCTTCAAATAAGACACATGTGTCAAATAAATTTTTGCCCTTCTTCTTGTCTCTGCCGATCTCCATCCCTAAAATGTATTTCACCTCACCCAAATCCTTCATCTCAAACTCCTTTGAAAGCTGCGCCTTCAACTCATCTATAGTAGATCTGGAAATAGAGGCAACCAACATGTCATCAACATAGAGCAATAAATAGATGTACACACCTCCTTTTAACTTACGAAAATATACGCAATGATCAAACTAGCTCCGAGTGTACGAATGACCAATCATAAAATCATCGAATCGCTTATTCCACTGTCGAGGAGACTGCTTCAAACAGTATATCGATTGTTTTAATCTGCAAACTAATTTTTCTTTCCCTGTAGCTCAGAATCCCAATGGCTGAGTCATATATATTTTTTCATCAAGATCACCATGAAAAAATACCATCTTCACATCCAACTGATCTCACTCCAAACCAAACTGTGTCACCAAATCTAGCAAAATCCAAATATAAGAGTGCTTCACCACCTGAGAGAAAATTATAGTCAATTCCTTCCTTCTGTGCATAGCCCTTCGCAACCAACCTAGCTTTGAATCTCAATAGAGTGCCCTCAATGTCCTCCTTCTTCGTGTATACCCACTTACAACCAATTACCTTCCGCTCCTTTGGAAGCTCAATAAGCTCCTACGTATCATTCTTGTGAAGAGACTCCATCTCTTCCTACATAGCTACCTGCCACGAATCAGCCTCCGAGCTCTGCTTGGCCTCTCTGAATGTAGTAGGCACCATCTCATCAATACTCTCCATCAGAAGTGCATATGCAACTACTGTATCGGTATACCGTGTTGGCATTCATATGTCTCTCCTCTGTCTCAGAACCGTAATAGAATCCTGAACCTGAGTCATCAGTCTCTGATCCTGCACATCAGTACCCGTATCCTCCGTGTCACCGTCGTGCACGCCTGGCGTCACCTCAGTCGATACTCTAATGGATACTGTACCATTTGGACAATGTGGAGCTGCATCGATCTCCACCACCTGCGATATCTCCTCTGTCGGGTCGCTCTCCACCTGATGAGAGCTGGAAAGCTTTAAGATAGAAGCCTCATCAAATGTGACGTCCCTACTCAGCACAATCTTTCTATCAACTGGATCCTATAGCTTGTGTCCCTTGACACCATGTTTGAATCATACAAATATGGACTTCCTAGCTCGAGGTTCTAATTTATCTATTCTCACATGATAAAATACAGTGCACCCGAATACCTTGAGCTGGTCATAGTCGTGTGTTGGCTCTCCTGACCACTTCTCCATAGGGGTTTTCCCCTCAATCGCAAATGAAGGCAGCCTATTAATAAGGTGGCTCGCATATGTAAGTGCCTCAGCCTAAAAGATCTTTTTCAAATCACTCTGCGACAATAAACATCGGACCTTCTCTAGCAAAGACCGATTTAGCCTCTCTGTCACCCCATTTTACTGCGGTGTATGACTAACCGTGAAGTACCTCTTTATGTCTCGTCTCGACATAGCTGTAGAAAGGGGTTTGAAGTATATTCACCACCGTTGCTGGATCATAACGTCTTGATCTTTCTCCCAGTCTGTAGTTTTAATCTCTTCTTCCACTCCACAAATAAATATAGGACTTCACTTTTCTTCGTCGTGGTGTACACCCAACATCGTCTAGAATAGTCATCAACGAACATGACGAACCAATGTCGACCATCAAGTGATGCAGTCTTGGTGGGACCCCAAACATCTGTGTGCACATAATCCAGGATGCCCCTCGTCCTATGAATGGTCGTCCCTAACTTTACTTTCGTCTTCTTGCCAAGAACACAGTGCTCACAGAACTCAATTTTTCCACTCTTGACTCCTTTCAATAGCCCCTACTTGCACAAAGCCTGCAGTGACTTCTCTCCTTTATGCCCCAACCTATAGTGCCAAAGTCTACTCATGTCCGCCTCTGAAATAGCTGAAGCTAACTGACCAATTTCGGTGCTTCCCTTCAGATAATACAAGTTTTGATTGCGGACTCCCTTCATCACCACCAAGGATCCCTTAGTAACCTTTGCTATAGCATCTTCAAAGGTCACCTTGAATCCTCTTGCCTCCAAAGCTCCAACAGAAATAAGATTCTTCTTCAGCTGAGGAACGAATCTCACCTCCTTCAATTCATAGACTACACCATCGTGCATCCGAATCCGCACGGTACCTATCCCACAAATACCACAGGATTGATCATTTCCCATGATAACAACACCCCCATCGAGTTTCTCAAAAGATGCAAACCAATCTCGCCTAGGGGTCACATGATAGGTAGCGCCAGAATCAAGCATCCAATCTTATGCATCCAAGTGGTTCACCTACGGTTCGTTAGACTCTTCGTCATGAATGTGCTTTCTAACTTCGATCACACGCCCGCAGCCGTTTCCTCTTCATCTACCAAGAAAGCTACATCCCTTTCAAGGCAAAGGATAATCGCCCGCAGCCGTTTCCTCTTCATCTACCAAGAAAGCTACATCCCTTTCAAGGCAAAGGATAATCGACGCCCGTGCTTCCAGATCCAGCTCAAAGGATAATCGACGCCCGTGCTTCCAGATCCAGCTCCTCCTAATCCTCATCAGACATATTCTTGTGCTGCTTCTTTTTTCTAGCCAAAGCCTTGTGCAATTTTTACGAAATTAACGAGTTTTTCATCTGCATGCTCTAATAGGAAAAATCACTCTTCCCATTGAACTTTTCGATCTCGTACTTTCTAACTTTAATTGTTTTGCTAGTTGACGCCATCCTCCATTTGTATTAATAAATCTTCTTCTATCAGGAAACTACCGAGCACCATCTCAAACCAAAGCTACACCACTCTCAATCTGAATAACAACTCTGATATCAATTGTT